CAATAACCAACGCGAAACCATCACTATCTGAGTGTCTTGATATAGAAACAGAAGTTAATATCGGACATAGCACTCAAGAAAGTGGCAAACCATAGACACGTGTTTCGGGCTTTTGTTCCATCATCACTATGGTGCAGTCAAGTGTAAGGATGATCAACACTTGATTACCAAAAGAAAGAAATAAAAATGCACGGAGCCACCAGCAGGAGCCAACCGCACATTTATTGTTTCAGTTGATAGATCTTGTGTTTACAAGAAAACTATCAAAATCACCAGGAAGCTATAGCTACCTGCGTGACATCCGGGTCCAGGAAATTATACAAATAGAAAAGTTATTGAAAGAAAATGGCAAATCATAGAATTTTTTCGGCTTTTGACCGATCATTAGTATGGTGCAGCCATATATACAGATCAGCAAATATGAGTATATTCAGCCTTGAATGATGTTCTGCATGAGTGTCACCATCCTAGATCAGCAAATAATTTGATCACGCACTTTTGTAAAATTAATATTCTTTCAGCAGAGGAGCTCATACACGATTCAGGATAATCTCTCTTTCACAATAATTCGACATGAATCTTAGTGGATAACAGATCTTTCGTAGTTTATCACATAGTGAATCTATATGAGGGCTCCAATTGAGCTTATGATCTATAATGAAAACCTAGCATTTCTGTTTCTGAGTTGAATGTCCCCTCTAGTTGGTTATCTTCATATATTTTGAGATTTTCTGCATTGATAATTCTGCTAGTGCTATTTTACTGATATTTAATGCTGAATGATTTTCATCAGCTCATATCAATCTTTCCTCATATATGTATTCTGAAGTTTCTGAAAGCGCTAATATATTATATTCAGTGACCAGAACATTGGTATCGTCTGCATATGCCACTATATGTATTTACCTTCGAAAGACTATTCAGGTATTGTATCAAGTCGTTCGCATAAATAAGAAAAAGCAGTGGTCCGAGTATAGACCCCTGTGGCACTCCTTGTTTGCAGGCTAAAGACTGACTGTGATCACATTGGATTATCACTGTTTGTGACCTGTTCTCTAGATAGGACATCATTCAATAGTGGGTAACTCCACGAACCCCATTGCGATGCATTTGCTGGATAAGTACATAGTAATCAACACAGTCAAATGGTCAAGAAAAATCGATGAACAAACCACAAATTTGTGGTTTTTAATCAAAGGCTATTATTACGTGTTCTATGAAATCATACAAAACTGTTTTTGTGCTTTTATCGTGCATGAAACCATGCTGGATTGTCGAAAGTACTGTTTTAATTTTTGACGAAAAATTATGCAATAATTTTATTCGTAATATCACAACTCGCGGTGAACTAATTGTTAGTCAAATACTGCTAATATAACAAAAATTTATAATATTATGACCAGCCATCATTTTTTATTTTTTTTCACATTTCTATGTACAAAAACGTCAATTCAAGACTTTTTAAATCGATTGTAATGAAAAAATCAGAAGCAATCAACTGCTCACTAGTTGTGAAATGAATGACAACAGAACATGTTTCCATAACAGGTATCCAATTAATAAAAAACAACAGGAAGAACGAAAAGTTCCAACTTTTGACTTACATTACTCGAATATGTTGAAATATTCCACACATAAGAGAATAGCAACAAATGAATTCGGAATTTATATGAACGAAATATTCTGAATATGAGATCATTGAAAATAAACTTCGTGAAAGATCTTGTTTCAGATGTTATAAAATGTTATAAAATTGGGGTGATGATTTATACAGCTCAGCTGTTCTTCTCATGAAACTGGCATCATCGTTAACAGAAAATGTATGACCTGATAATTCGTTCTACCGGAGGAGAATGTCAAAACACATTTTAAATGAATCGGAACTACATTTAACGAAATACACAGAGTTTCCTGCAATTCACTGAAACTTTCTCGAGACTGTTTCATCTCTACAACCATTATTAATAATCATTCCGATAATTTTTTCGAAGTTTCTGAAGTTTTGAAGTGACTAATCATCAATAATAACTATGAAACAATCGAAATGAGAATATTTCGATGGATTACTCAGGATTCAAAAAATGGAACTCATCAAGTTGATAGACTCCTTATATTACCTGTTGCATTTCTGAAACTCGAATTATTTTTGAAAAATAGTATCATCTGATTTCAGCTTATCTAAATTGGCATTGTTTATCGTGAATATTATAACACTGCAATCACAAGATTTCATCAGTATCAATTTACCAGAGATACTACTTTCAGGACTCCAAGTCAGCAGTCAGTATAACCTTATACTTCTGTATTTCCCCTTGTTTAATCGAGTACGATATCATAATCAGGATTATATAAGAAATTTTATGAGAATCACTAACAAAATATTTTCCATAAATTTTGATAAAAAATGAATGTTGACCGTGTGGCAATTTTTTTTTTTTAATGTATAATTTTCTTTCTATTTTCATTCGGAAAATGTGTTCTATGAGACGAATTCACAATTACATGTTGCTATTTGTAGTTAACCCATTGATATGATTTTTGTACACTCGTATAAATTTGCAAATAACTTCGATTTTATCAGTTTTTAGGAGGTCGTATCACCCATAAAACTAAAATCCATAACGAACCCATACAACTACTTCCATGATACGAAAAAGATTCCAAAAGTCATTTTTTGGACTTTTCTAAGAGATATTCTTGGAATGTTTTCGTCTATTCAATGAGTTCTTCACCATAACATCCATTAAACCACTTTTAGGCCGGTCACACACTTCACGATTTCCGAGCGGCTTTTTCAAGCGCGGTTTCTGAGCGGTTTTTGATTTTTATGCCAACCCCTGCATTTACAACCAACCGGTCATCGGATTCCAACGGAGGGTAAGGGCGACCAAGTAGAGGGATAATCCAGGTAAAGGAATGGGACAATACCTTGGGTACCGCCTTGGGTGGCGTCTTCCAGCGTCTTTTGCTTTCAAAGGGCAAAGGGATACCACCATTTCATGGTGAAATATCGCAGAAGCAGAAGACTTCATAGTCGTTGCTTTGAAGGCATGAACTATACTGAAGAACGACAAGGGGATATTTCGCCTCCAGTCAGAGATCCGGACTGCCAGTAAATCGCAGACACTGTCAGGTACTCACTGCGATTTTTACTTAGCAATTTCTGCTCGGAAATCGCGAAATATTTCATCGGCCTTAATGTGTGAAAGTACAGTTTCAACCAAGTTGATACACTGAAAATAATTTCTTTCGTGACTGCACAGTCGTTAATAATCAAAACGCGTGAAAATGTTTTTCAAGATGACGATAAAAAATTAGAAGCAATAACATTTGAAAGCTATCATCACGAAGTCGAGACAAACAATGAACACTTTTTTCAGTAAACTGATTCACGAAAGTAAAAGAATGAAAGTCGAAGAAAACAATTATATTTCAGTTCAGTGCAACATTCATTGTTGGGAGATTATAATTATTCAATTAACTGGAATCAGTGAAATAGATTGAGGAGAAGTTAATGATATGAATCTTCTAATAATTATCACAGTCGATTGAGAAATGCTAGTTTAACAATTTACGTCGACAAATCGTTACTACTTCGCACGATAGCTGTAATCGACCATTCAACTCATCCTTGACTTGTTATGGCAATTACACGGTAAATTGTAGTTCACGAACTACATAAGGCAAGAAATCAATTTCCAATCGTTGTGCTGCAATGTAGAAAAACATCTCGTGATATCAGCGATACACTGACCCTATATTAGTTCCACCTTTCTCTAGCTTAGGTTGAAAGTTATATTGTACCCTGTAGAGGAGGGAAGTATATATACCACTCGATCGCAATTTCCAATCTTCTATACGCGAAACAAGTCACAAGTTTGTTGGTGAAAATGACGGACTTTCAGAAGTGCTTTCTATTGACTCTGGTGACGTGTGCAGTTTCCTTTCCTTATCCGATTTCTCAGCCTGTGTATCCTAGTACTCAATTAAGTGCCCAAGCAGTGCCTCAGATTAGTTATAAGCAGCCTGCAGCAGCTGGATATATTCCTCAAACACAATATGTGAGGCAGCCACCTGCTGCTCAACCTGTATATGATTCAATGGTTCGAGAAGGACTCCAAAATTATGCAACAAATAACCAGAATCAAGCTCTACAGCAGCTGCTCGTTCCTGTTGCTGCTGAAAGACAGGTAAACAATTTGATTGACATACGATTTCTATCAAAACAAAACTGAGGAATCTGTTTTTACGAAGAATTAGCCCGCACTTGTTGGAAATTTATTTTGAAGATAATCCAATAGTTCATTGAAGCACATGTTTGGATTAACAATAGCTGATTATCTGATAATGGAAGTCTGAAATATTAACGTATTCCAAAATTGAGCTAGAAAATCAGCATCGCATTATTAATTCATTATAGATAATAGTTCAAAAGCTCTTATAATTCCGATATCAATCGAAACAGTCATTGACGGCATATCGGTGTGTGAGCAAATCAGAGGGAAAATATTTTGCAATTCAAATTATCACTGAAACATTAAATATTTTATATGGTATTGACGAAATCAACTTTTATTAATGTGACATATTTCAACTTGGTGGAATAAAAAAAAAGAAAATTCCCTTCAGCAAGAGTTGGAACCCCTGATTTTACTTTTATCTGTCTTGACCAAGCTATTCTGCTTTCTATATCCCATTATTTTTAATATTCATTCCATATATACTCTGTAATAATAGCATTTCCTGTAACTGGGTACTCCTGTTTGAAATAAATCGCTTTTTTTTCTGCTGACTTTTGCACAATCAGTACCACTCGAGCAAATAGTAACTTTCTGATAGGCATTTGCCACATACACAGTGCAAAAGCCAAATGGAATGAATTCATTATTTCGGTAACGGTACATATTTCAACAAAATTCTGAATTTAAATTATAATTTGACATACTTCAACGAAAAAATGCTACCTCTACCTTCAACCCCCGTCTAATGACAGGTACAACCCCCAATTTTGTGAATGGGAAGTATAGGCTTGGGATATATCGTTTGAAACAAAATTCTGAATTTGAATTATAATTTGACATACTTCAACGGAAAAATGCTACCTCTACCTTCAACCCCCGTCGAATGACAGGTACAACCTATAATTTTTTGAACGGGAAGTACCTACAAGATTGTGATCGTTTGGAAGGTCTCTTCATTCTCTTATCAAAAATGTTATCGCTCTCGAATTTATTGCAATAGTTAAAATAAAAAATTGAAATGATGTGGTTACCGAAATTCGATAAAATACACTCATAATTTATTGCAATGTACTCAAAACTTATTTAATGTTGAGGTATTCATAATAAGAAAGTAATTGAAAATTATAGCATTGTTCCTTTTTGATGGTATCCTTCAAAAAACTGTAAATAATTTTCGTGGCAATGTTAGTTTTGAACGCCTTGTTAACTTGTTTCGTATGTTGAAACATTAGTTGTCAGTATTTCAATTTGAGTTTGAAGTTGATTGATTACGGAGATAAAACCCGAACACAAGTTGCTCACCTATTTCATGGAAAATTTACTAATTTATCGCCCATATGTCAAGGAATAATAAGCAAAATAGAGAAGCAGTTTCTCGAGCTTGGTCATGTGGGGCATATGAAAAAGCAGCTGCCAATGCAATGAGTGATGAACTCAAATTAGATGTGATGCTTGAGTTTGAGGAAAACCCACATACATCGAGTAGACAGGCATCCACAGCCGTACATCCATAGTAAACATATCAAAAGGAAATAAAATGCATTCCTATGAAATGATATACCTACTCAGGAGCTCATGGAAGACAATTTTGATAGAAGTACTTATTTTTGTGAGCAAATGATGGACATGTTGGATAACATCAATTAGACCCATAACATCATCCAATTAGAAGAAGTTATGTTTTCTGATGAGTGTACTTTGTTTCTTAACGGTCATGCTAATCAGCAAAATTGCCGCTACTGGTCAGCGGAAAATCCTCAATGAATGAGAGAGGAACACACGCAATACCCTCAAAAGAATAATGTTTGGACAGAGATTGTAGAAAACCATATCATTGGTCCCTTTTTCATTGAGGACAACTTGAATGGCGATTATTATTTGGCTCTACTTCAAAATGATGTCTTTTCAAGTTTTGCAAATTTATATCTTGATCCAGAAAACTCTCAAGTTACAGTGAATGGAGCAGGAGCAGTGATGGAGCAGTGGTGGAGCAGGATGGAGCACCACAACATTACCGAGTTAATGTCCGCCAATACTTCGATACAACATTTTCCAATCGGTGGATAGGGAGGCGAGGATCGATTGAATGGCCAGCGCGATCACCTGATATTTCATCATTAGATTTCTTTTCATGGGGATGTGTACAGAACTGAATTTTCAGATTTGAATGACTTAAAAAACGTATAACGCTTGCGATTAGGTCGGTCACGCCTGATATGTTGGATGATGTTAAAAGACAGTTTTATTTGAGATTAGGATGTTGCCAAGACGTTCGCGGTGAACATTTTGAACATCTACTCTGTTAACATTTATAGTTCTTTTTCGTATTCTACATTTTATTACGTTTGGCATTACATTTTAGTTTTTGAGTGAATTTTATCGAATTTCGGTAACCACATGATTTTAATGTATTTTATCTGAATTATTACAATGAATTTGAAAGCGACAACATGTTTTAATCGAGAATGAAGAGACATTCCGAACGATATATCACGAACCTCTACTTCTCATTCAAAACAGGGGGGTTGTTCCTGTCATTCGAAGGGGGTTGAAGGTAGGGTTGGCATTTTCATGTTTAAGAATGTCAAATTATAATTTACATTTGACGTATTTCGGTTTTTTATAAAAATGTACAGTAACCGAAATAATAAATTTATTCCATTTGGCTTTCACACACCGTATAGGAAAACTGGAGGGAATGAATTATTCCAATTTTTATATTCATATTCACCCATAGATCACTCTTCTATTTGCGATTTTGTTCACTATATGATGTTGCAACTCTATTCAAGCAGATCCAGCCTGAGATAAAGACGAAAATCGAATGAAAAATAGCAATGCTGTCTTGGGAACAATCTAAAGTCAGTCTGTGGCGAGGTCCTATTTCTGATCCAATTATTCGTTAGACTGGACGCCTGAAGATCAAAACGTTTTGGTTTCGAAACAACATATTTGATTACTGAGTTAATGTTTTTGTGTGTTATTGAGTAACGGACAAAGAAGAAGAGATATTCGTTGTATACTTTTTAGCTCTCGGTGAGACAAAAATCATCTGAAAACACAAATGAAGTTTTCAGATTTTCTCTTCGGAATCCGCTGACTCCATCCTGACCACTCTGTTGCATGATGTTCTTTCTACTCTCGAATCTCAAGGTCATTTCGGCTTGCCGCACAAAGGCAGAATTCTCCAAGTCATTCTTGACTCACTGAGTCCGCTTAGGGCACATAATCCTCAGATTCAATGATCACTCACCTCATGGTGTGAGGGGTCTCATTAGTTAATTAGTCTTGCGAGCTCTCTCGACTGTATCGGAACTTCCGGGACTCGACCCGACCAGCTTTCCTTTTGGGAAAAATGGTAATATCAACCCTATGATAACTTTTCCCATGGTATAGGAGTGACCGTTCGTTGATGATGCTGACGCGATCTCCAGAACGTCTCTAGGTTTCAGATATAGGGCTCGAAAAGCTCAACCTTTAGAATAAAATGATATTCCCGACCCTCAAGGTCATACGAGGATGGTCTGAAGAGTTTTCGATCGATAAAAAATAGTGAATTTTGTTGTTCACCTGTTGACAGTTACTTACTCAGCTATTTTGGATGCGCAGTTGTTAAGTAACAGTAACAATCGTTTGGGTGAGTTGATGTGAGGTTTTTATGAAAATGTACAAAATCGAGTATCAAGCCGTCATTAAATATGTCAAAAAAACATTCAGGCATGAAAAAGCTGTCCACGCGTTGGATGCCGCCTTGACTCAAGTTAGACCAACAACGTGTTCAAATAAACATTTCCAACGCTATGTTGGCGCAGCTCGAGTGCAATAAATTCGAGTCTTGGCGCCGATTAATCACTGTTGATGAAACTTGTATACTCCATCACACGCCCAAAGCAATAAAACAGTCCAAACAGTGAACTGCAAAGTGGAAACAGGCTTCAAAAAAAGCAAAAACCCCTTTTTTCGGCTGAGAAAGTGATGTTTTTTTGGATAGTCGTGAAGGTATTTCAGTCGATTATCTTCGAAAAAAAACATCACAGAAGCATACTACGCATCATTTGTGCTGAAGGCACAACTTGCAGAAAACAGCCATACTTGCAGAAGATGAAATGATTCTGTTTCGCGGCTTACGGTTTGAACTGCTTGACCATCCGCCTTTCTCATCAGATCTAGCCCCAAGCGACTTCTTTTTATTTTCTATTTCCTCATCCAAAAATTGCGCACGGAGGGCAGATGTTTTCATCAAATAAAGAGGCATAGTCTGTTATTAGACTTCAACTGAATGAAACATAATAGTCAGATCCAAATATAGTAGTTATTCATGTATATTTGTAAACATTCATTTGGCTCAGAACGAACTTTGATTACGATGAATGGAATTGGAAAAAATATGAGAATAATTATAATTTCTTGTTCATTCAAATATACACCATGTCCATTTTTCTTACAAACCAAAAAAAATACTTCAATTCATGACCTCCCATAATAAATATGTTCCTTCAAGAATTTTGTGGACTGAAATAACTTGCAGATAATCAACGGAAATCATAAAATGAGATATGTCACTGCCATTCCTAGTGAATAATAAATTTCCCATGTTCTTAAACGTGGGGCACCACCATTGCCGTTTATCGTCATTTCATTATTTTCTGCCTCCATTGTGAGATTTTCACCGGATAGTTCACAAAACTGCAAAACGTACTATAGATTCATCAGGGGTAATTATATTATGAAACAATTGTATGATGAACCACGTGTTGTGGATTTGTGAGCTGTTACTTGCCAATTTCATCACATATCACTGCTCCAAATTCAGTTTTGAAATTTTTATTACGAACAATATGAGCAAAATTTTCTGTACCGTTGGAATATTGATGAGGATGTTTTTCCGTTACTCCATCCACACTTCAAATAATTCCGCTTTCAAATTTGGATGCTGGAGTTGTTATCGATCATTTTTTCAAGAGAAATAACAGCTAAAATATGGAGATATAAGATTTTTCCACCACAATGCTCAAAATTCCTCGATATGTGTACAGTCAATTCAGAAATATTCTCAGTGGCGCATTTGCTTTTTCAGCTGCAGGGACACCCCGAAAAACCTGCAGCATCACATCATCTGGAGATCATGATCTTCCAATGTCCTCTCTCTCATAAAACAAAATGTAGGCTGTCTTCAGAGGCTCCAATAGATTCAATACATCGCCAGAACACTTTGTGACACGACTATCGTCAAACTTAAACCAGTCCGTTTCGTTTTTGACCAAGGCGTAATAATGACCAAATTCAACGTCATAACAATGACTGCATGAATATTATGATAGTGGTCTGCTAGATTGAAATGTAAGCAAGAAACTCTTCGAAAGAGTTTCTTGCTTACGTCAGTTATTAAAAAAAAAATATTTCTTCTTGACTGAACGAAAAAATGTGGAAAATTTCCAAAGAAAAGAAGGAAGAAAAATAAAAACAACTACAATAACAACTCTTTATGAAGATATCTAGTGTGAGTTCCTCTCACATATAAGCGGGATGGAAAAACCTTTTTGAAACAACAACTCTGAAGAGAACATCAAATCATAAGAAATTCACTTCTCTCCATACAGTTTGTATTACAAACATCTATTTGGAATCGAAACAGATATCATACAAAGGAACGCTTCACAACTTGATATATGAAAGAGTATTGATATTGATATATCGTGCATAGCATACACAAAAGTTTTTTTCACATCCAAACTGAAAGAAAAGGACCTATCGAAATAATTAATTTTTTCTGCTTTCTTTGAAAGTTTACTTTGTTGTTTGTTTCATGACGGAGAAATAGGAAGCCAAGAAGTTCTATCCCAACCTAACGCATGGCACCTTCGTCGGTAGTTTTACCAGCGCCACTGTATCGCTCATAAAACTAAAATGATGTGCCGCGTAGTCCCATTTGAGTTTGTACTATACATAGTTTTTCTATGGACATTGTCAATCCTAGTAGTGATGTGTAGCGATAATGATGAGAATGGATCGCCATTAACTGTGATAGAACCTGCTCTCAAGTCAACGAGTATGCATACTTGTTATGTACTGATTCATTTACGAAATATGTGATGTATTTGGCCAAAATTCGGAAATCCAAAATGTATTTAAGTAACACTTCATTGTGAGATTTTCACTAGACAGTATCGCAACATGCCACGCGTGTTCCGTTACACAATAGGTTTCTCAGGAGTTCCCTTCCATACGAAAACGTTTTTCAGCTGAAAAACAAATATAGGTCGTAATACCAACAATGAATGAATTGATGGATGTAGCCGTTACTACGTGGTAGGAAATCATAATGAAAAAAAAAAAATAAAACTTCCTATGTTTTTTACCACTTTTATTTGTCACTAACGTTACTGCAGTTTCGTCATATGTGGACATTTTCAAACTTATATATTAAACTCTTCGAAAAACTTTTTTCAAGAGCTCGTTTCACCGTCAATGAAATTTTAGTTGTCTGCCTTATACTTTGGTACTACAAAAAATATTTTCTTCAGAGAAATATTTTTTTCAACAATTCAATAAAAAAACATTTTTTTACTCGTCATTCAATACCGTGTTGAAAAAATTCGATATAATAATATTACTTCTGTTACATAATATTACTCTGTAGTACACTGGTATGAAATGAATACCTCCCACAAATATCAAGACTTTCGTTAACATGTGATTTCACTCATTGCAAGAAAAGAGGCGTAGTTTTGGCGAGCAGCTTACATGGATATCCGGTTGTTAAGCGCTGTCACGGAACTTTCATTTGTTTAATTGGAAAAGAAGACTGACAAGTTCAAACAAATGAAAATGAGAAACCTGCAGAGTAGAAACTTCGAGCGAAAAGAGTAGATAATTATGGTCTTGTATTTACGTGACTTTGAAGTCCTTGGTTTCCTGAAGGAAAGAATTGATTGAGAGTCAAGAGAACTCCTTCTCTATAGTCCTGTAAAGACGAACTTTCTGTTGTTCCTCTCCGAAATGAAACATGCTCAATATTGAATCATGAAACTTGCCGAATACATTTATTTGGTGAACTTTATGAGTTGGATATCCACAAATAAAAGCAAGAAAATTATGATACTATTTTAGGAAATGCAAAATGTCAAAATTTTCGTTTGGATTCCATCATCAAAAATCTACCTTAGATGAGAAAATTTTAAATTATGGTGGAGATAAATACAGAAAAAAATGTTTTGTATTTGTTACTTCATTGAAATATCATTGACACTGCGGTTGAACATCTGTTAGAAACAATATCCATAAAACGATTTTCAAAAGTGATGACACAGCTTTCTAGTTCAACATGTATTCTCGTTTTTGAAACCAGTCATATGACATTCTTACATTCATTATTCGAATATTAAAATATATGTTTTTTGTTTTTTGGTTATCCATTTGGTCATCCCATGAAAATAAAAGTATGATAATCTACTGAGCACAGAAACACCAGCTATTACCATCAGATAAACATATATTTATGGGTATTTACTTTTTTCTGTTTTATATATACTGTTTTGAAATGATGATAGACTCAATACATTTTTTTAAATCAAACCTGATAACTAGGAAGAAGACACTCCGCAAAACTTTTGGTTTGAGATCTCTAGAATACATAGCAACCTTTGGAAATCTCATGGTCTCCGTTATAATTTTTCACATATTACCAGTTTGATCCTTCTCTTTTCGGACAATATTCGCTGCACCCGAAACTGAAAACTCCACGAAGAAATTCTTCTCATTTTAAGTCGAATGGGACAACATCAAATTCATTAGTGTGTATCAGCCTGAATGTTGAGAATTCATGCCTTTGGTTCTTCTAATATCCCCGGAGCAGGTAACACCGAAGTGTCATCAATACCGTAGCAGTGAAGAAGGTGTGAATGGAGCAATCTTAAGGATAGTTGGAAGAAACCTATATATTCATCACATGATCAAGTTGACTAAGGATTAGAAACATCATCCTGGCAGACCATGAATAACCACTCATTTTCCGACTTCTGAACACTAGACCAGTGGAAGGTCAGGTGCTTTTATGATCTACACTGTTATTGAAGAAGAACTTATGCATTGACTTATCCTTGCAATGTCGCAGGTGTGAAGAGATGTCTGCATCACTTTATGCATGAGGGTTTTTTTTCTGAATTGGGTTCAACTCAATGACAGTGTTGTGATCAACCCATTCAGTGTCGAAGTTTTTTAGCCGCACCGGAAATGCATTGAAAAATGCTCCATTTTCTGCTCTCTCATAGTTGCGGACCATGCAGACAAGTATATCTGAATTCCAAATGACTGAACAGTCTTCATCCGATACCAGTTTGTCATGTAAATACTCCAAACTGGGAAGTTTACGATATTCCTATTTCCGGGGAAAATATAAATTTTTGCTATCAGCTTTTGTCAATAGTGAGATGTAGAAAAAAAGTGACCCAAGAGAATAGTCCTGAAATACAACTGTTCTGAAAGTTACTCTAGCCTGACCAGATGTTATGGTGATGCAAGTTCGTCAGAGTGATATCGGTTTTTCAAGGCATCTCACTATTTTATCAGGTTCAGCATTACATACGAGCAGATGCTGATTGAGTTCATACGATGTCGTATAAAATGCAATACTGTTCCGAGTCCTGGGTTTTTCATCAATCGATGAGCAGCGATTCCCAGCGACTCCTCTCTTTGATCCTCGCTGCTCATATACCCATTCGAATAGCCGAAGATTGTTCATGTGTATGAGATGTTCGAGGTGTTAAAAATAACTGTTTGGTGTTGGAATGAAACTTCATTCACTATAATGACGATTCATTCAGTACCTGAAATACTACGCCAATTGATTGAGTAAGTAGTCCAGTATATGAAATCATTTTATCATTTTTCTTTGTACTCATCAAGCTGCTGATCACCCAGGTCGATGAATCGTTGGGAAACTCATCCAGTTTATCGTTTTATATTATATAAAATAATCCTGAAATCATTGTATCTTTTGATGAACAATCAAAATGACATGCATGACTCCAAATCACTTCAGAGTCTCATTATCATTCTAGGTTCCAAAAGTTGCTCTGCCGTCTGCACAGTATTATCTCAACCAAATTCAATCAGCCCAGTTGGCAGCACAGGCCCAACATGCTTTTGCATCATCTCAGCAGAAAGCTCCTCAACCAACATTGACTAGGCCAATTCAGCCCATATCAGTTCCTCAACAAGTTCCTTCACCTCAACCCCAGCAATATTCCAGAGAAAAGACTCTTCAATATGTCAGGCAACAACTCCAGCAGTATGCAAGAGAGCAACCTGCGCAGTATGTAAGAGAGCAACCTGTGCAGTATGTAAGAGAGCAACCTGCGCAGTATGTAAGAGAGCAACCACAAACTAGGTATATTGCAAGGCCCGTTACAGCTCAATATGAAGTCCAACAGCAACCACAAGAAGAAGACAGAAAGGAGAAAGAAGATTATGACGTAAGTTATGAGTTAACTTATTAGCTCTGATGAAAAACGACAATGATATCCAAATGTTGGAAATCTTCAAATTCTCAACTTCCAAACATCTGAGAATACGCAAAGTAAAGGTGCATAAACTGTCAATATGTCGGAAGTTAGCTGATAACATATTTTTTTCAGTCAATCGGAAAAAAATGTTTGATGTTACTACTTCATACTTTCCACGTAGACTTTCATGTATATTTCTCATGACGAATTCAGGTAATAATTTCATTTATGACCTGCAAATAATTTAAAAAAGTCAGTATGGTATTCAATCAATATAATCGAAGTTGTAAGTGTGGGTTGTTATTTGTCTATACAATGATTAGTTTTTATGTAAAAAGTGCGACTCTCTGAAGAAAAACACTTTGATATAGACAGAAAATTGAAACCCCTTTCAAGACAAAGATCTCAACGGCAGTGAGTTGTTTTGCCAGGTTTACATGTCGAGAGCTAGAAGTAAAATCCATTGCTATCTCTCTGCATTTCTCACTGCAATTGAACAACTAGATGATACTGGAGTTTAAAAGAGGCACGTTCATAATCTAATACCATAAAGTGCTGTTCCAAAGTGCTGCGATAGATTTTAGGAGTGATACTTGGCTATCTATGAGCAGAAAAAACAAATCCTTATTGTGTATTAATTATAGTAACCATTTTATTGCTTAGTCAACCCCAAAACCTCTTCATGAAAAATACAAAAAGATGCTTTGATAATGACACATACACTCAGTATTCATGAGTTATCGTATCAAATGGGTTTTTTAAAATTGAATATAGATTCACAAGTTGAATACTCCAAAAAAAACTACACTTCCTACATGATTTCAGATACCGAATTCAAGTATTAGTTATTTGAAAAGGAAAAACACCTCTTTTACACTTTTTATAGAAGTAGACCTAAGTACAATTTAAGACTATTGAGACATACACATATAAGACCATAAAGTATGCTTTCACGGCCAAAGTCACCACGTTTCATCTGCAATTTCAACAGTCATCATGAGTTATATATCTGTTGACTGTGAGGATGAAGATTATGTCCCGAAGTCTCTTCAACAACAAGTTAATGGCTTCAATTTTCTTTTGACGTTGCAAAATATTACAATGATTGAACATACTGATATTAACAATTTAAAGGTTATTAGGTGCATGGAATCGCACTTTATGAAGTGAGATCTCGCACAAGTTTCGACTTCTGAGTCGTTCGTAAGGTGGTTACCGGAGAAACACATAATAACAAACACAGATCAATTCAAATCAAAAAAACTATTTTAGGATAACCGACAAGAAATGGCAAATAATTTTTCGAAGGTCAATATTCAGAAATATGAAAGAACTCATAAAAAAGCTGAATTATCAAGAGGTACTTTTTTATTCACAATAACTAACTGACCTCACTTCTGATTTTATCATACCTCTAATATTTCCTCCAAAATATTTAATTTTTATATCATTCAGAAATATTATGATTTCAGTGTCGAAATTATGGGAGAGATTCCTACAAAAGATTGTTTCAACTTTTCACAGACGATTTTGTTCCGAATACAAAAATTATATCTTAACTTTGAACAAAAAAAATTACGCCAAGATTTGCTGGCTCTTTTCAAAGAATGTTCTCGATGAATATCATATGACAAAAGCAGCACGTGGCAATTCAATCAGTAGTGAAAAAACGGAGACTACTAATGTGAGTTTTTCAAACTCCCCATAATTTTTATAGACCTTGAAAATTTATTATAACTCTTTTGATCATAAGACATTCGTATTGTTCGGTCTCAAAATTTCAGTATCGGAATTATTATGTTTTTCAAGTGAATCTCAATTTTTTAGTATTCAACCTAGATTTGCCAGCTCTAAAATTTGTAGAACAAAACAGAATATTTCATGGCATTATTTTCATTTCATGTATTGTTAACTAATCTTGTTTGAGTTATTTATTTTTCATTATTCATAATCTGGGTTTTCCAGTTGGTCTCAAATTAACGGGTCTTTCTAATCCACTTATGCTCATAAAATTCAATATTCCCAAATACCTTTTCTCAAGCAACCCGTACATTTGTAATACCTTAATTATTCCTTGTATTCCTAATCTTGGGAATTACCCGTTATTATGATCTCTCCTACCTATGTTAATCCAAACCTTAGTTTCTTTGTTTATCCCTGCAAAAACCAATCTGACCCCTTCTCTAAAATACCTACCGATGTGAAATATTGAATTTGTGTAAAATTTATTTCATTACGTTTCCAACCTTGTAACAGTACAGTTAGAATCAAATTTTGTCTTGTCTACAGTACATCTAGCCATTTATTTTTCTTATCCTATCTTTTCACAAGAGTTACTGTAACTCTCGTGTGCATTGAGCATTCATACTCACGATAAAACAATCATGGGTCAAAACACGTATAGCAACTAAGATTATTACAAATTATATCGACAGAATTACATATATATGTCAATCTTGTAGAGGATATAACATTACGGATTCAGAATCAGTCGGTTGTAGATATCCTGGAGGCGTTCAAAAGTTAGTCGTCTGAAATTAACAATAAGTGAGACAATTATTCTGTGAAATATTTCCATAGTTCCATGTGGGAGGACTTGGATACGTATATGAATCATGAATATTCATTATTCCATTCAAGAGATTGAGGTATTTCAGAATTAACTAGTAGCAACGATTCTCTCATTAGATTTCATCAATTTTATTTTTTGTAGAAGAATCTCTAGAATTAACTCGACGTAAAGATTTGAAAAATGATGGTTCTCTATAGATATTTGCATACTAAATCGTCCGTTTCACATTCATACCTCCTTCGACTGGTGAGTGGCCATGAACTTTTGAGTATGGAGCATCTACATGACAGAATGATACTGAAGAATGATACTGCGAAAAGTTCAGATTCCTGAAAAATGAGGAACAAAACTTTCTATGTTTTTCCACTACTCTTATTCGTAACTTACGTTACTGCAGTTTCGTTGTATAAGGACTAATACAATGAACTTCACATTGTTGTATTTTGGAGTATTGTTTTTTCTTAGACACTCTTGGTTGAACCATAAGTTCTGCGTTGCTTGATGGTACTACATTTTAAGTTTCAAGTATTATGTAGCTTGTCTAGCTGTACTTGCTTATTTCAATAAATTGAAGGATGTAGCCGTTACAACGTGGTAGATAATCATCATGAAAATTGAGAGATAAAACTTTCTATTTTTTTATTAACCACTTGTATTTGAAACTGACTTTACTGTAGTTTGGTCTTATGAAGAAATTTTCAAACGTAGTAACGGCTACATCCATAAATTCATTTCGTATTCCTTTTTCTGAATGTTCCGTGATAAAGAGAAAACAGGACATTTTTCTTAAGGCCACTGTTGGACCAGTCAATGAGTTCAGTTCAGTTCTCAACACTAAACGAGGTGATCACAAGTCTAAATTACAGCTCATCCAGAAAAATACCTACAGAGATCACTAACTTGGAGGTTCTTGACACCAGATGCAGGGCCTACACATGCGTCCTCAACATATATCCATCCACATAAAGCGGGACAAAGAGTGTTTCATCATCTACGGCAATTTTACGGTTTTGAAGAGACACCGACGTTACCTTACGCGTTAGCCACAATAAACTCTTATGGGTTACGGTGTAGGGTCGAATAGATCCACTCACTTCAGACCTACCCACCCTACGCGGGAATGAGAAGTTACTATTCATTTCCCACCTTCAGGCTTATACAAGATAATCAGTCTGATTTACTTCTTCTCGACTATCAGAGTATAATTCGATATTTATGGTGGAGTTTTCAGCTCCAGGTGAAACGAATATCGGTCCAGGTGGAGGTTGATAATGCTGGCGCTCACTTTTGAATTTGTCACGGTTTATATTGAGCACAAAACTTCACATCATGAAGAACCCAATATTTTAAGAGGTTCTCTAACAAAACATGAATTGTAATTCATAATGGATAGAGATACCACAATACAATATAGAAAATATATATGAATACAGAATATAATCAATAGTTTTGACACAAGTACTATGAAGAGGTGTATAAGAAGTGTTTGAGGAGTGAAATGCACTTCCTGTTCATTATAATGATAATGATAATAGCTATTTGTTTCAAAATAAGTTTATACTCAAATAGACATTGAAAAGTATACCGAATTCATTCAATATTTCAGATGCTTGATACTCAAAACAACTTTCAAATTTGACTGTTTCCTGCTGTAATATTCTTTTGAATTCAATAAAATTTGTAGAAAGTTTGTTGGAATTCTAAACTTCAACAAATAACTGCACCAAAGAAGTGCATGCCTAGATGTTTCTTCCAGATAGGGGATAGAAAAAATGATTCTACACAAATACTTTAAATTACTGTACTACATTGGTCAAGTAGATTGTTCAAACCACTATCCAACTAACGATCCAAACATCATCTCTGAATTTATATGTGAAAATATCACATATGCCATAGAAACAGTGTTTCCTTTGAAAAATATAGATCAAAAGCTCAGAAACCTAAGTGCTATACTGAGGTAGAACTCGGTAAAAGAACTCGGTAAAAACAGTTTAGAAAATCGTTAGTTAAATACAGGGTAAGTGTGGTCAAAGTATCAACCACAATTAATACCTACCTTACTGCAAATGATTTCTCTGAATTCAGATCCACAATGATTGATAATATTATCAAAAAAATACCTCCCACGGATAAATCAGGGGACGATCTCGAAAAAATAACTGTGAAAGTATTTTTGAGCCCCACGGATGAAAAAAAAAATATCAAGTGTGATAGACACACTCAAATATAGTTCAAGTACGGATGCATATAATATGAGCTCCAAAATAATCAAAGTCATACCGGAAATCCTAAGCACACCACTCGCATACATGCATGGAGAAGGGAGAATTTCCTTCACATCTGAAACTGTGTAAAGCAACCCGAATTATGAAAAAAGGGTGATATAAATAACTGTGATAATTATACATATACTTATGATAATCACCTCAATGATATAAAAAATGATTGAAGTAATTATCAAAGAGAGAATAACGAGCGTTTTTGAAAACGGAAAACATCTCGATGATCATCAATAGGGATTTTGATCGCTCAGATCGACTTCACAAGCTGTTACTCAAAAAGTTACTCAATAGCAAAAAATCTAGACGAGGGATACACATACGTGCAATCCTATGCTACTTGTCCAAAGCCTTCGACAGAGTCTCGCATAGCATCCTATCAGAAAAGCTCCATGATAACGGGATACGTGGACCAGCTCTTCGACTGTTTGAAACATTCATTACTGACATCCTACAATGATGTGACCTCCAGGACCATACAAATGAAACATGGTGTGCCTCAGGGTTCGGAGCCACTGTTGTTTATAATAATAAAAATAATGATAATAATAATAATAATCTTTATTCCATCCTTACAGATCACATACAGCATGATATAGGATACGTCACAAATAAAAAACCGTGTGATAATAGACAAATTTACAATCAACAATATTTAAATATTACAATTTAATAGATCTGTTCACATATACATGAAAACATGTATAACATTTATATTCGTACATATGAGCAAACACATTTTCATTTTGCATCAAGAAATTCTTTGATACTGTAGTAACATTTGTCTTGCAAATATACTTTCAATTTTGATTTGAAGAAATTTTTATTCTGTTGCTCTCTCAGATTTGCGGGAAGATGATTGAAAATTTTTATACCTCTATATGAGGGGCTTTTTCCATAGAATGATGAGCTGTGTGCAGTAATTCTGATGAGGTCTCCGTTTCTAGTTGGCAATGAAAACTGTTTGATACATCTCAACATGTTGCATAAATAACATTATACATTTGAAAACATAAATACATGAAACTGTTAAAATTTTATATTTTTGAAAATATGGTCGACACGATTCATCTGGTTTCAGATTGAAAATGAGTCGAATAATTCTTTTTTGGGAAACAAATATTCTGTTTCAGTTACTGGAGCATCCCCAGATGTTGATGTTATACGATATGTTACAGTAGATTAGAGCATAATATACATTGATGATTTTATTGGTATTGAACATATTTTTTAATTGCAATATAGCATAGTAACCTGTGTTCACTTTTTTGCTTATGGCATCAATATTATTTTTCCAACTCATTCTAGTATCTATATAAGTTCCAAGAAATTTCGTTACTTCAGAAAGATGAATAGGGCTATTTTTGACAACCACTTGAATATCAGTCACAGATCTCCACCTATTTCACATCAATTCATGATGTTTTTTTCTGTAAGTCCTCAGGACTATCTGCATCAACGGCCATTGTAGTATCATCTGCATAGAGAACTACTGAATTTGAACTGATATAGTCAGATAGATCGTTTATGAATAACGAAAAAATAAGCGGCACCAAGATCGATCCCTGAGGAACTCCCCGGTCCATCTCATAATATTCAGATATATGCTCTCCTGAAGCGCATGTATGACATCAGCCAAGACAAAAAATTTCCACGAAAACCAAAGGAATATAATTTACCATCGATTATCTCCAGGTCAATAATGTCGAATGCCTTCGATAAGTCGAAGAAAAGTGCTCCCACATATTTTACTGTATCTAGTGAATCGTAGATATATTTGAAGAAATTGTACGAAACACTTTCGGTTGACTTACCTTGACAGAAACCATGCTGATATTTTGACAGTATTCGGAATTTGGATAAAAATGAGATTTTTGATATAAACACATCTTTCAAATACCTTCCCAATAATGGTGGGAATAGTTATGGGTCGAAAATACACATACTGGAGGGGTCCCCTTTTTTGAAAATAGGGATTACTACTCCAATCGGGGAAAACCCCGAATTGTATGGAGCAATTTATAATGTGTGCTAATGGTTTGGCGATATATTGAGCAATTTTTTTAATGACCTTCGTTGAGATGCAATCTATTCCGACAGAATTGGTGTTATTCAATGAGCTAATCGCATCCATGACGTCACAATCTGATACAGGGGAGAAATAAAATGTTTCACTTCTGTACATTGTGGTATAACTTTTTTTTTGAACTGAAGTTGTTGTCGACAGCTATTTTAGCATTATTTTACAGAAAGTCTATTTATGAAAATGTCTGATTTGAATTCAATTTATTTCTTGATAAATATTATGCTGCCACCATGTATATGGTTTTGTCGCGTGAAATGTGTTGCGAGGATGTATTCGTCAAATTGAACAGTTTTCACATTGACATTATTACACCACGATTCAGAAATACATAATACATCTGGTTTTTCTTCAGATAGGACTAGTTCAAGCTAACTAGTTTTATTTACAATACATTGAACATTCAAATGAATGATTTTCAAATTGTCAAAAACTGCAGTACCTACTTGTTTAGAAGGCGTGTTGGTTGGAAATTTCAGAATGTTCCCTGCAAACGTAAACCATGAGAAGTTAATTTTTCGACGTTAAATGAGTGATTTATTTTCTAGGTATGTTTTTATCCCTTGTTCTGTAGAATGCGGCAAACATTTTCCTACGTACAGTCATAGCCTCCTAGGTGCACCAGTGAAATCTGCTGCCGCTGCGGTTCTATTCGTTCCCACTATCACTGATGAGTTTTTGGCCATTGTGTCGTCGCATATTATTATTGTTTTTAGAGTTGGTGAAATGTTGAACCTTATGTTTTGTTCCCATCGTTGAAATTTCGACTTTCTTGTTGTTCCGTTTCTTTACTGATAACTTCCTCCGAAGATGGATTTAAATCGCTATTATCAAAGATCGTATCGTTTGCTACGTGAATTTTCTCTTTTTGATCACTTTCATAGTTAGACAGGAGTTTAATCATATCGATACTAGATTCTCTGAGGATTTTTATTTCCTCTTTCAACTCAGAGATTTGCTGCTCCAAGTTTTTACTATGTTTCTTCAATAATTTTTCGAAGAATGTTTACATGTCTTCACCAGCATCCGTTTTAACTTCCTCAGCATCATTGCTTTTTGAGTTGCTTCTCGTTGGAGCCATATCTTTAGGACTCGATAATGTAAGATAATATAAAATAGAGGAGACACACAAAACACGTCCACTCGCTTCACTCGCTACCCTCTATATAATCTATATGAATGATCTGCCAATCTTCTTAGATATCACAGATGTATTTATGTACGCAGACGACTCAACTTTCTCAATCAGAAGCAGAAATTCAGAAGAAATAGATAGAATGTCAGGTGAGACACTGTCACGAGGTGGAGCTTATTTCAACGAAAATATTTTATCGTTGAATTAAAAAAAAGCTAAACAAATAACTTTCTCAAAATATAGAGCAAATAATTCATTATCAGTCAAAATACTAGGATTTCACATAGATTGTAACCTGAACTGAAAAAAAAAAACTCTTTCAGGAATTGCAAAAGAAGTTGTCAAGGAGCCAATTTTTATCCAGAAATCTCATAGGAATATTATCAGTTGTATAGGGTTTCATTATGAAACATAAGCGTACCAGCAGTTATCAATATATCAAAAAAAATTTTGAACTGTGGCTAAGGCTGGACCAAGGGAACATGCCAAGCCATTGATCATCAAAATGCAAATGTTAACACTTCCATGTATATATATCAAAGAAGTCATCTTGTGGATACACAAAAACAAAAATGCGAACAATACGGGGAGTGAAATTCACAAGTATAATACCAGCAAAGAATTGTATAGACTACCTCGAGTAAATTACCTACACTAAAACAATGAAGCAGACTGACTATCTGCCAATTAAACTATATAATCTTATACCGATGGATTGAAATATATTCACTACAATATTTCTGGAGTAATTGTTTTTAGATACTAAAAACGGTCATCCTCAATCTTTTCTTCTGAAGTTTTGTCTCTGAGTCCGAGGCAACCGGTTGGATAGCGTGAGTTCCACTCATTCAATTGTTCGTTATGTTGAACGTTGGTTCGAGCTCAATTTTCCTTTATTGTCTAACTCTTGCTAGGAATTGCATGTTAAAAGACAAGACCTCGTTCATTTCCTTGCCTCTTGCAAACAAGTGTTACCCATTCTTGAATTCAGCTGGAATTTACTGATAAGGGCCAAGTAACTCGAAACCAAAAATCTGTAATACTATATTTCCTGACGGTTTGATGGATATAGTGTATTGTCTTTCATACTCACACACATTTTGATTTTTCTTTGTACAGAAAAAGCATACAAAATCAACGGAATTGCTCTCTGAATATTTACATAAACTATAATTTCTTGAGAAAGTATCGAAAGAAATATGTTGCTGACAAATATGTTTTATTGCGATTTTAAAAAACCTTCCGAAAATGTATTCGGAGGCAGACTATTAGAAATTATTTTCAAAATACGTTTCAAATAAACTTAATTCACTTCAACACAACTGGTACGAATTCCAATTATTACCGTATTAACGTATTCAGAAATAAAAAAAAATTACACTATGAACATGTATAGCTGTAATTTTCTCGCTCAATTGCACTTCGTGCTACATCAAAACTATATACAGATAATTGTTAGGAAACACGAAGCCGGAATTCATTGCATTAAATCTGATAACTTTATACTAATTAGTTTGCTAAGATCCACTTTCACCAATAAATTCCTGTTGATAATTAGAGTGATTAGGAATAGTACACAGAGAAAATATTTCTCAGTGATTAGTGCGTTTTTATATTGTTTAGTTTCCTGTTTTTTTTTCACTGTTCAATTATTAAAGTCATAAAACGAGTGCAATACTGTTCTTTTGTAGTTTCTTTAGTAGTGTAGACTTCGAAATCAATAAACACGCAGAAAGGATTGGAACAGAATTTATCGACAATAAAATTGCCATAAAATCGAAATTTCATGGTTGCACATGTTTTCCTTTAATTAAATCTGTTGAGACGCTGGGAAAATGCTGTGAGACGGGAATATTCGATTGAATGGCAAAAATTATGGCTACACTATTCAGAAATAAATTGGTTACGAAAATTTGGATTCAACCAATGAAACGGAAAATGATTTCAAGAGAAGCGAAATTGAATACAAAAAAATATTTTGGAACGTCGATATTTTGATTTAGATGAAAATATATCATCATGAATTAAACACTTTTTGGAAATAAATGAAATGATTCATATTTTGAAAACCTATCAGGCACGTTTATGAATTTCGACATAAAATTATGAAACTGAAATATTCCAATCATGCATTCTAAAAACATTACATAAATGCTTGAAAATTAATAAACACAGCTAATGCAGTGAAATATTTTTTCGTCCTTTGATCTGATAGGGATGAATAAATATAACAGCAATGTAAGGACCATGTTTCTAAGGCACGGTTTCTAACCGTTGCCTCTTTGAACTGGTACGTGAAGTACTGCAATCTGAGTATAGCGTTTATTATGTTAGTTATGGCTGCTATACCCTTGCGCGGTAGTATTTTCAGTGCCCGGTTTGCTATGTTGTCCGGGCCTAGAGCTTTTCGAGTGGATAGACGTCTTAGTATGTCTTGCACTTCCTCGGAAGATGTCGGGGCCAGGGGTTGCGCGTTGTTCGTTCGTTGTCTCAAACTTCGTATCGTTCTTTCCACCTGTCGCTATATTTCGTCTACTTCGTCCGTGAACGAGACGTCGTTCTCTCTGCACTGCCTTTCGAAGTTGTCCACGAATGCTTCCGCTTTCTCCTGTAGTCAGTGTAGACGATTCCTTGTTCTCCGTGTATTGGCGGGCATGTCTGTCGAGGTCCTTTCCTGAGTACTTTTTGCATTCTCCATGCAGACTGGTCTTCAGTGTTCAGTTCTTCCAATCGAGTAGTCCATTGTCTGTCTCGGATTTCTTTTAATTCTTCTTTCAGTATCCTGTTGGCTCTTTGCATGCACCTTTTGTACAAAGGTACGCGAGTCCTTTGGTACCGTCTTCTCAGGCGTCTTCTTATCCTGACCAGTTCCATCGTTTCTGGTGGAAGCTGGTGGAAGTTGAAGCGTGGGGCTGGGACTTCCCGTGCGCTCCTTTCCATTGTTTGGATGATCGCCTGCTGCA